CTTGTTTGAATACATTGATATGTCGTCATGAAGTTTGCTAAGAACATAGTCCCTTTCCTCTTTGTACAGCAGGTGATCTTCTAGATGAAATTCAAAGTAGATCCGTAAGCCATCCACGACTTCCTTGAGCATACAGACACTGGAGAATTTGGTTAAGGAGTTCAATGAGTGCTGATTAAATAATACAAAACGGAGAACGACTCACAATTGGAATCACACAATCGACTGGGATTCTCTCTAGTTGGGAGTTGATTCAAGCCAAACCTAATACTTACTTGGACATTACCCGATCGTACTCACGCTCCATGCGCGCATTACGACTCTGCGTGTTGCGTGCCCTCGAACTGTCCTGCTTGATTCCAATGGCCAGTTCGACGGCTCGCTGCTTCACAAAGTTCTCCAAGATGGTGATGATGGGCATGCGGGCGGGCAGATCATGCTCCTTCCCCAGTTTGCAAACCATATTATAGTCGTATTCCATATACTCGCGCAGCCGTTCGCTGATGCGCAGCATTACACGATCCTCTGGATGGACGCGTTTCTCTGCATCAGTTGTATGCGTATCTTTAGGTGAGACTTGCAAATCAAACTGAGACTTAGCAGATTTTCGCTCACCATCCGTACGGCCGGATTTGCGTATGTCCTTCATGGTCACATCAGCACCACCTCCGCCTGTGCCAGATTTGTCGTGCTGGCCTTTGCGACCACTACTGTTGTCCCGCGAACGATTACCACTACCATCCCGCATGCGGGCGCCACCTTTCTGCTGTGCCGGCAGTTCGTGCTGTGGAGTCGCCGGCTGAGATGCCAACGATGTGTTCAAGGATTCTGATGTCTGATCTTCAGCGTTTACACCTCTGGTCAAACGCTTCTTCTTGCTGGGTGGCAAAGTCGGAGTCTTGGTGTCTTTATAAGAATAGCCACCAATTCTGCAAATTGTAAACAAACAGTTATTCACACATAAACACACACACGTGCGCACGTATCACTCACTTTTGTAACTGTGCGGCTTCTGCCAGCTCACGTTGAAGCTTACGATTTTCTTCGTTGTCTTTTAGCAAAATGTCGGCGCGTACATTTCGATCCCAGGATGAGTTCCAGCCTTGAAAATGGATTTTGTAGTCAAAGTAGCGTTTATTATCGGCGTCCTTGCGTTCATACACAGCTAAAACCTAAAGAATAAACAATTTTTTCGGTGTGAAAAATCGAAGCAATCACCTCGCGTTCTCGCATTTGTGTTTGACGTTTCGAAACGTTGTTGGTGTATGCGTGAGCGTATCTGTGTGTGTGTTTGTATGTGGGTTGTGTTCATGGGTTACCTTACTATCGTACAAGACCCTAGCATTCGATTTGTCGGGCTCGAAACACAGGACTTTCTCACCCTTGTTGAAAAGCTGAACCTCGTCTTCTCGCGTCGTCATCACTTTTGAATAAATGACATCAACTATTAAGTTATGGCAAAATATTATTATTTATTGTTTGCATTCAATCGCGTCGCTCGCGTTGTTGCCTCTTTCTGCCAATCACACAAAATACGCTACAACCAGGGCTGCAAAACTTTTTGTAGTGAACTAGCAAACACCAACTCTTTTTGTTCCCATCAATCATGCTGTGCACTTAGAAAAATAACCAATGTGATGATTGCAAAATTTGTGGTACGTGCAAGATGAATGCCATTTTGGAATTTATTGAACATTATTAAAAAATACCTATTAAAGAGGTTTTCTTCCAATTTATATTGTTTCTTAACAAAATGAACATTTTCCGATAACATTTGTATGTGCTCGCTGTTACTGGCATGTGCCGCTATCATTTCATAATCGATAAACAGCATTGGCGCAATTTAAAAACAAACCGTTGCTAAGGAGGAAAAACCAAAACAAATCATTGTATTGTAATTTTTCTACAGGCTATAAACGTATTATTTTTAAAATAGAGAAAAAATAGATTTTATAGTATGGCAACATCGTCGGCATCTAATTGGCTGCATGTGGACATCGAGGAAGACACCCCCAAACTCTGTTCGACTTTATCCAGTTGCATGACACTCAGTGACGTGCAATGCGATGGTTACGTGCGGCTATTAGTAGCTGACATTTGTCTAGAAGATGAGGAGGAGCCCAGTGCCAAGCTTAAAGTGTTTCGTGGACTAACACTTAAGCATGAGCAACCACTACCTGGAATACCAACTGCAATTGAAAGTCTCTACACAGATGAAACAGAACCTAAAACGCCGGGTGAGCATTTTAGGATTTACCAGTTCATAAAAACTTTATATAACTATGCTTTTTTTATGAAACAGTCATTGCAGTGGCCATTGCTGATTCCGTGCTGTTTTATAGGCATTTGAAGCCCTTCTTTAAATACACAATACCAGCCACGGATGCGGATGAGTTGGAGTTGGAGKTGTGGCGCAAATTACCTGTGATGAAACCGGAGACTCATGAAGGGCTGTTGCAGTTACTCAAGGATGTGGACCATGCCAAACTATCGCGTAAAACTCAACGGCTTCTGCAACTAACGGAGGAAGAGCGAGCTGTGAGAGAAAAGTTTTCTAAATTAAATAATATTATATATCCACTTAATTTCTCTCTAGGCATTTATCAGCACACACAAGGATTCGGTTGTGGGTCGAACCGGCAATATTGTGGCCATGTGTTGTCTGAACCGAGTTTCCAGCAACGTGAGTCCCCCTTCACATTTGGTTCTGGCCACAGACACGGGTCACATATATGTGTTGGAGCCGCAGGGCTTCAACTTGATATATCAGTCAACTATTTGCAACTATGAGACAGCTGTGCCAAGCCTTATTTCGGTACATGGCACCTATGAGACAGATTTCTCCATTGTGGTGGGCACGCGGAATGGTGGAGTTTACCTGCTGCGCAAGTCCAGCAGCGAGGGTCAGGAGATTTTCAAGCTATCCACCCCATTGACTGGCCTGCTCCTGCTTCCCATTGATCAGACAATCGTTATAACCACCATGGAGCATCGCTATATGTGCTGCTCGAAGCGAGGCAAACAGCTTTATCAGCTGCACTTGGAGTCGGCGCCGGTCTGCATTTTACCCCTACCACTAACCCACCTGGGCGTCACCTTGGTAGCCGTCGCTCTTCAAGGTGGAAAGGTGGCCTTCTATTTGAATCGCTATATGGTGGATGAATTCGTGGTCCCAGAGACTGTGTCCGGCATGCTATATGGACGTATGGGAATGGAGGATCATGTGCTCACACTGATCACAGAAAGTGGCGAAATTATTATAAAGATATTGCGACGCATAACACGTTTTGAACCAGACACGTCAGTGGCTGCACTAACGAAAAAGGGTTTGGCGGTGCCGCAGAAGATCGGAGATGCCTCCATACTGGACAAGTCAAAGAAGAGCTCAATATTCGTAGAGCAAGCGGCGCGTGAGAAACAGCAGGCCAAGTGTAAGTTGCGTGGATCTTTGAGCAAGCCAGTACTAATTTCTACCTTAATGCAGCTAGCTACGGCAGCTTTCAGATGGAGCTGTGGCGACTACGCCACACAGCCGCACGTGCCACAATAGATGCTATTAACTCCTCAGAGAGCACCATTTCAGGAGACCTAACACATGCACCCGTAAAACTAGCCGCCGAGGTGTGCGGCAGTGGACCCGCTTTTCGACTCTACCTCACCGTACAGAATCTGTCCACGTATAAGATGGCCTCAAATCTGGCTGTACTGCTGCATGCGGATCGTCGTCATTATACCATACAGCAGTCCGTGGCCAGACTGCCCAGCGTTCTGCCTGGCATACCGCTGCGCGTAGACTTTGAGGTGATGGCTGTGCTGGATGCAATGGACAAGCTGCCGCCAGCCACTTTGACGCCCGACAATTCTCAGATTCGTGTTATGCTAATGAAGGCGGGTCAGGCGAAGCCACTTATAGCTGCCGTGGTGGCCATGCCACAATCGGAAGCAGCATTCTAAATGCTGTTCAATATAAAGTGATTAATATTTGTTATTACGGGTAAGTTGCTAAATTTATTTGCCCATAAAATAAGGTTAGTTGCTAACGCTCTTCATCATTTAGGGCGCATACTTCTCGTAGACCTTGACATAAGCCTCCTATGCGGTTCATACATGCTCTTTTTTAAATCGAATAATCCGGTCTTATCAATGTTGACATCTCTAATGGTGGCCTGTTCGAAGAGTCCATAGAACTTCAAGAAGTCAGAGACTTTGGGCTTCTCAGAGAACTTATTGGCGAGTTCAAAACGTTACTCAAAGGCTGGCCATTATGCAAGGCAACTGTGTGGAATGTTGCTTAACTTTAAACATCTGGCTTCTACTTATAATAATCTCGTCCAGCAATATGCAATTTAATTAATTTAAATTTAGGGAAAGTCTGCTCAGTATAGGCTAATTTCAGTTGGGTTTTATATTAATTAATATTGTGGAAAAGTACGATAGGTGAGCGCCGTTAGTGTTTGTCTGATCTAAGATAAGTCTGGACATGAATCATTCAAAATTAAATCAAAGTGACTTTACTGTGAACTGTGCGCCATAGCCAACATAAATAGGAAGTCAGGTTTATCTTCAGTTGCTGGCAGTATTAACCTGTTTTATATATGTATTTACATAAATGTGATAAAACATATTCGATGAACACTCATAAAATATTCATGCTAATCTTATCGATTCAGTGCATAACGTGACTCCATGTCTATCTCTATACTTAGCTCTACGATTGCGATTATACGTATATGAATTGTCAATATTATTTCCAGCAAACTGCAAGTGCAAACTCATACGAACTATTCGTTATTGACTCAGCGAGATCCAATCAGCATAGCAAATCAAATATGATGTATGTGCTGAGTGTGTCTATTTTTTCAGGTAGCAGGGAATAGGAGTCAGTTTTGATAAGATTAGCTAACAACAAAATTGGCTTTTAGGCTTCAGACTATTTTATATATAACTACGAATTGAAACAAGCAACCACAATTTGTTTTCGTTAACCCGACACAACAGACCAGCTAACAGCCAACATGGTGAACGTAAGTTAAAATATAAAAACTACGACTAAATCAGGAGGAATAACTCTCTCCTATTTTGCGCTGCAGTTTGAGGAAATCGTAGAGAAAGCAAAGAAGTTCAGGGACACTTTAACCAAGGAGGATTTCCTGGAATTCTATGGCTACTACAGGCAGGCCACAGAGGGCGATTGCAACATTGAGGAGCCAGAGGATGAGGAGGAGAAGGCTCGCTACAATGCCTGGAAGAGCAAGGCTGGTCTGACTCTGGAGGATGCCAAAGCCCACTACATCGAGGTGTACAAGAAGCTTGCTGCCAAATACGAGTAGAGAATGCATTTAAAGAACTTTGCTTTAGCACGCAAATTTATATTTTATTTATGCCACTAATGTCCTTGTTAAACAAATGTATTTATACTATTTTTATATGAACGCTAATAAAACCGTAAGCATTTAGAAAAAATTACCAAAACATGATTTAGTTATGTTAAAGTTCTATTATTTGCAGCAAACTTCGATACATTTTCAAATCATGAAACTTTAATGTTCATGTACTTGAGCAAATTATCTATTTAAATGTATATATGTAATAATCATAAATACACATAAAATGATCAATTTGTTTCAGCTGTCTCATCATGATAGCAGTTTGCCATCTAATTCCAACAGTCAGCGCAAAAAAACACAGACAACACCAATCATTTCAAGAACGTACTTCCTCTAGTTACAAATATTGATGTAGTAATTTGAGAAATTTTGAAATTAAAATTGAGATCAACGAAGATATAAAATATGTCGAATTTAAAATATATATTTCAATATACACTATTCAAATAATTCAATAAATATATTAGCCTCACTTAATACCAACTCAATAAATTTGAGCACCTAAGAGTATGCTACAGTTAAAGATGGCAACTTTTATATAAGAAACAACTGTCTGTATGAGCAAAAAGCTTATGAGCATATGAGCATATGAGCATTTCAGCAAATAATCAGAAAAAATGACTAACATCCAATCAAATTTTCTAGAACTATACGGGCTGTCATAAATAATCAAATGAAAGAAGCAATTAAATTATATATACGCCGAGTAATCTTCAGGTGTTTAGAACTGATTAGAAGTATACTGAAAAGTCGTGACTCCGCTGGAAATATAATATTTTATATATTTTTAGCTGCAGTTGCGATTAGATGGGGGCTGCACTTCGCACCCAGCTTATGATATGATTAAAACGACATCCACATCCGAAAATCTTAATCCAATGCAGCTCAAAGCTACGCTAGCCGAGCGAAACTTTGAACAGCTCGCCAATCGCCCATTCAGAATGTATTGCCATGAGGCGAAATAGTGGACGCTCTCAGTTTCACGATTTTTGGAGAGCTTTGGAACGATGTCGCCGACGATCGTGAGCGACGCGGAATCATTTAAATTGAAAGTCAAATCGAGACTCGGATTCAGACAGTGCCGAGTTCTGAGACCGCCCAGACAGCAAAAGCCATCGTAAGTGCGTGAGCCGAACATTCAAAATTCAATGGGTGCCTGAACACGTTATCAATATATATTACAAGAAACAACAATTTACACATGTGGCAATCAACAATCAGAAAAAGCTCATGGTCAGATAGCGGCAAAGTGATTATTTTAGCCAATGAGCAATAATATATGATTCGCACGTACTCGATCCATGCCAAAATTCCATTTCTGACGGGATTCTATGACACCAAAATTTTGCAATTACTGTGCTGCTGCTGTCGCTGCTGATGTGTCCGTCAGATACATTTGTATCTTTTTTAGCTACCGCAATAATTTTCATAAATGAATTTCTATTTTTATTACGCTGCTGCCTGCGCCGGCTGCTTGGTGAAAGTTATGTCTCTCCTAAGTGCTGCTGTTCTCAAAAACATGCGATAGATGCCAAAGTTCATCTTTCCAGGCAATCTGGCGGTGGTCTTTTATTGCAAGGCCCTTCAATTAATGGTGATCAGCGAACTGGTTTTGTCATGTCATCAACCAGAGCAACAGTAGCGGCAGCAACAACAACAACAACAACAACAGCATTAGCAGTAACAGCAGCAGCCGTAGTTGTAGCTGTAGCCGTAGCTCCCCATCAAGTTCATTGTCACATTTATAATTTATGTTGCGTCATAATATATTAAACTTGCTTAATTTGTTACTTGCAGATTAAAATCTAAATCGAGATGTCCCTCACTGAGGTAAGTGGCAGGAAATAATTTATGGTGATGTTGTATGTTATTTATCTTATCGCAGCTGTTCTGTGATAAGCCAATAGCTTATCAACATGTGGACTTGGGGTAATCGTGTAATCTGTTAACTCTTTCACAGCAATTCAATGCCGCCGCCGAGAAGGTGAAGACGCTGACCAAGCGTCCCAGCGATGAAGAGTTCCTCGAACTGTATGCCCTCTTCAAGCAGGCCACCGTTGGCGACAATGAGACCAGCAAGCCCGGCCTTCTGGACCTGAAAGGCAAGGCCAAGTGGGAGGCCTGGAGCAAGCAGAAGGGCAAGTCCACCGAGGCAGCACAGAAGGAGTACATTGCCTTCGTCGAGGGTCTGGTGGCCAAGTATGCCTAAGCTCAAAGCCAGAGCCAAACTGAATTGATTTTACACAACAACCAGAGAGACTAAATCTATTTATACACAAATTGTAGATAATACGGAACAAGATCTTCTTAATGCCTAATAAAACTTGATTACTAACTTTGTACACACAACGAAACGAACTGCCCTGCCCATTGCCCAAAGTGCATTACACTCTGTTGGTTCAGCACGCTGGGTTGTTGGTTATTTGCAAGGCAAATAAACATATTCAAATATCGGCTGGGCAATGAGTCCGGGTTGCGAATACGAATGCGAATCAGAGTACGTACCTTTCAGCTAATAATGCAATTCGTTCTTTGCACGCTCGACTTTCCATTAGCGCCTAACTGTTAATAGACTCGCCGAAAATTAAGGTGTTTTAGTGTTGCGCGGACGACCTTGACGCTTTAGCTACAGCAGAGTGCAGCGTGCAAAGGTGCAAAGGTGCAAAGGTGCAAAGCTGAAGCAAATAATGGATTTACTCTGTTTCCATTTCCTAAATACTGAAGTATTTACAGAGTTACGGCGATACGCTATGTATAGAACACATGCAAAGACGAGAGAAAAACTAAATATTAGTGAAACGTATTAGTGGAACAAGTTTGTTTAACTTCCGGGGTTGGAGAAAATGTAATTTTAGTGCAAGCAGAAAATTAAATCAATAAACAAGTTTTACCAAATATTTAAGGGATTAGAACTATTAATTAAATATGATTATAAAACTATAATAAGAAAATTTTATGTTATTTTATTTATTTGATAAAATTAAAATAAGTAAATAATTTTATGAAATTAATTAATTCGCGCTGGGCTTGCCTAGGCTAAATAGAGATATGCCAAGTACATACATATATATTTAATCATTATATTGAGGCCCAGAAAGCTTTTAAAGCTTAGCCAATTGTCCAATTAATAAAATAATAATAAAATGGTTTTACAAACCATGTCAAACATTAAATTAAATCATATATACATTCTTAGATTTTCAAACATTTTATATATATTATTTTTTTACTAAAATTGTATAGTAGTATTCAATATAATATTGAATATATGTATACAAAAGAAAATCAAATAAAATTAATGTTGGAATATTTTTAGATATTTCATACTTCTTGCCAATATTAGAAATAAAATTTTGTAAATATTGAAAAGATTTGAGAGTCGCAGTCAGTAAATGTGTGGGCATTCATACTAAATGTAATATATGTGCATCTCACTTCCATATTTGCACCATACGAAAGTTGTTAAACTTACCTTTTCAATTAGCAAATCGTAATTCAAATACTTTTCTATTTTTGCACAACTTTCCAAACTTCTTTCGTGCGGCGCAGCAACTCTGTCAAAAAGTCGTTAGAAATTCAAAAAAAAAAATAAATAAAAAAGGCCGATAGCAAGAGTTGTAATTGCTGCTGGCAACATGCGGCTGCTGTTGCCGGCTGCTCAACAGGTGAGCACAGGTGAGAGCCAGACAGCCAAACGCGAGCAAAACAACAACAACAACAACAACGCGCGCTGCGCTTTTTGTTTATGAATGAAAAGCGCATAAGTAAACCGTGATAAATGTGTGGGCACGAGCGAAACCAGCGCAGAGATCGCTAGCCACAAGAGCGCGAGAGTGGAAGGAGGGCAGCCCACGAGAGAGAGACAGAGAGAGAGAAAGAGAGAGCGCGCGGAAGGAAAGAGAGTGTGTGTATGCGAGAGAGAAGTGACTCGTTCGGCAGCAATGGGCAACTGGCAACTGGTGCTAGCTGTTCAGTCTACGTTTTGGCCTAAACGCGTTTGCTTGGACTTGGCCAGCGCGCATGAGCCGTCGGTTAGTCTGCACTGTTTACCCTCCTTCTCTCTCTCTGTCTCTCTCTCACTCTTTCTCTCCAAGTGTGTGCATGCGTGTGCGTGTGTCGGTGTCGGTGTGTGTGTTAACAAAATGTGATTAGCAAAAATACAAAAGAAGAAAAGAAGGCAACGCGATATAAAGCATTGTGGCAAAAAAGAACAGAAAGCGCAAAAACTGTGTTAAAAATAACAAAAGATATCAACGAAAACAAAACAATTTTTGCTTAAATTTTTATATTTTGAATTATAGTTGCTTTGCATAAATAAGTAGACAAATTAAATATGTATATAAATTGTATGTATGTATATATATAATATACGAAAGCCGCACAAATATATATTGTTAACAGCAATGCTGAATTTTGTGCTTTATCGGCAGCAGCAGCAGCAACAATAAAATTCATATTGAACTACACCCAAAAGCCAACAACAACAGCAACAACAATAACGGCGCAACGGCGGCTGTGCGGCTGACTTGGCCGACAGCTCACCACCAACAGCAGCAGCAACAACAGCAACAACAAAAACCATAGTCAGCGTCGTCTACCTTTTTCGTGCCTTTTCAAGTGTTTTTTATTGCTGCACAACCTCCCCTTTTCCCCCCTAAGCGGAGCATAGAGCAAGCAAGCAAGCCAGCGTGTGAGCGAGCGAGCGAGAGAGTGACTGACTGTCTCTGTGTGTGTTTGAGTGTGAGTTAGTGTGAGTGTGAGCGAGAACGTGTGTCTGGTTTGGCGCTGTGTTCAGTCTCGGCTTTGCGACCAGTTTCAACTCCCTGATATGAACCAGCTGTGTCTGCCTGGGCCACACACACATGAACATACACACTTGTGCATGTGTGTAGCTACAACAGAGTATGCAATTTTGGTAAGTCCAACGTTTACCGTTATAGCCAGCTCCCAACTGATCGCAGCTCGACTAGCTGACTTAGCCCAGCTTATCTACCTGTTCCAAT